TTATGATAAACATACTTCAGTGTCTATGAAAGGTAGTGTATACTACATATATTATTTTTAAATTTTATCTTCAAAACAGAAGAAATAATTTGTTGTTAAGTATTATTTGACTTTATGGTCATGCAATATCATGTTTCTGAACTCTTAATTGTTTAGTGCATGATTTAGAGTGATCTTGTGGATGTGGTAATGATGAAATGCCCTTATTGTTTTTAAGATATTTTCAGCCAGAATGTAGAAATGTATGAGAATATCAAAAGGAAGTGATACTGTAAATTTAAAATTAACCTTTCATTTCATGGAGAATTCTGTTCACAAAATGAGTATTATAGACTTATAGCTGGAGTAGCAAACACTGAAAAAGTGAATCCATGAACTTAATTAGATGGGTGGACTGAGGAGGGTATGTGTATGAAAATGACTTTCTAATATAATAACTTAGAATATGATAAAGGACTTTACTTTTTTACTGGAACAAATTATTAGGTGTGAAGCTAGTAATATATGTCAAAATGAATACAAATTGTGGTTTTACTCTCAAAGATTATCTACTAGTTGAGGGAGCAAATTGATTTTAAATAGCTATGACTAGCTAAATGCTATTTCAAGTGATTGGGAGGAAGGGAAGTTTAGTGCCCTACTTTGACTTGATAGTCTTCCTCTCTATTTTTGAGAATTGGAACATAAACTCTTTCCTTCACACCCCGTTTAAAAAAAAAAAAGTGAAACAATCAATTCTTAGTAATTTTGTGTCAGCAGAAATCTCCATAAAAAGATAAAACCAGGTTGGAATCATGTCCCTACCTTCAGCAACACTGTTACCTTGTCAGTTTAACTTTGTCTAAAATGAATATTGATGTGTAATAAATGATTTAAGTATGAATGAACAGTGAAATAGCTAGAATGATCTGGTACAAGCCAAGCTCTCTAAAATTTTCAATTTCCATCCTGTTCACCTTTCAACAAATGCTTGAGCATAGTGTCTTTGACTTGTGTATCAATAGTTAGAGTTTACACTGACATCCATACATATTATCCATCTGAATATAGCTCTCATAACTCTGGGTAAGCTAACTGACTTTTCATAGGAAACCAGGGCTCAAAGAGATGAATGACTTGACCATGGTGACACAACTGATAACCAGCTGGTACTCAAACCCTAGTTTCCTAACTACTAATCTAGTGTAATAAAGCTGTTTACTTCACCTCCTTGTTCAAGGAAGAAAAAAAAAATCTGCTTTTGAATGTGATTTTCTTACCACAGCAATTGACAATCTGGGATTCTACCGTATACAAAGGGGAAAAAATAGGAATGTTTGAATAGACATAGCATGCAGAATATTTCTTTTTAATGTCAGCCACTCCTTCTAGAGAAAGCAGTGTTTTAAGATATGATTAGTATCCTGAGCACAGGGTGATGATAAAAAATATGTTTTTGGATTATTATGAGATAACAAAATTACCCACTCTGAAAGGACCAGCTGCTTTAGGGTGGCTGGCACTCATAATGCCTAAATTCCCAAAACGATTGTAATTGGTAGTGTGCCATATATATACATATATATATATATATATATACACACATATATATATAATATGTGTGTGCACCATATATATATATATATATATTCAGAAAGGAAATGCATTTATAAACCTATTAAAACTATAGCATCTGTCATAATGTGGCACTATAGAATCTTGGTAAGTGAAATATTCCATCTCAGCATTTGAAAGCTAATCAGCATTCTCATGAAACAAGAGATCCTATAACTTAGCGCCTTGAACAGGTATTGAAAACTCGTGGACCAAAAAATGAGAAAATTCTTCCCATACTTTGTATAACATTTCCATTACCACAATATAATTTTGAATTGATGTGCACAACATAATATTGCTCATCGCATTACATGTATGTCGAACTAAGTGGAAAGAGCCCAAATTGAAATAAGAAAACTCGAGATCATATCTATTCTCTATCCAAGTTGCTGACAGCTTTAGACAAAGAATCTAAACACTAAACCAGGGTGTGTGTTAAAGTCTTATATGTGCATTATCTCATTTAAATTTCAAAGAGGTTTTTAAAGTAGGTATTACCATTATATCTTTTATAGATGTGAATATAGAATCCCACATGGGTTAAAAAAATTACCAAGGGCCTCCGCGGTGGTGCAGTGGTAGAGCTCTGGGCTGTGAAGCTGCCCGCAACCTCTGCAGTGCTGGTTCGATCCCTGGCCGCTGGCGAGAGTCCCACATGGTGCACAGACCTCTCCTGCCATTCCCACTGCGCCCCTCAGCAGTGTATTTAGTCAGTCTGCCTGTTCTGTTCCCCGCTCCGGCTCTGGTGAATTCTCTCACCCTCCCACGCTTCTGACTGTACCCAGTGCTTGTATAAATAAGTAAATAAATCTTTAAAAAAATGAATTACCAATAGGGCCTCCCTGGTGACCTAGAGGTTAAGTCTCAGTGCTATCACCACAGTGGGCTAAGTTCAGTCCCAGCCAGGGAGCTACCCACATGGCATAGCAGACCTCTCCTGTCTTCCCTGCTGCTCCCCTCAGCAGTGTATTTTAGTAGATCTTCCTGCTCTGTCCCCCACTCTGTCTCTGGTGAATTCTCTCACCCCCCATACCTCTGGCCTACACCCCATTTCTTCTATGTATAAAAAAATCAATCTTTAAAATAAATGAAAATTACCAATATTTATGTGCTTAAAAGTAATATAAGGCTTAATTATTGAACTTAGGCTTATTCTCTCATTAATACATAATTGCTTAGAAATATCTCATGAACACATTCAGGCGCTGTTTGGAAGAAGGAAATAGGAACTAGGAATGGAAGGCAAGTAATCAACCAATCATGTTCCCTTTGTCCTGGGTACTGTGTAGAGAATGGATTGAAAGGTGACAACAAACATCTGGGTAGACTAGGGAGACGGCTGTGTAAAAGTGATCCAGGTGAGCAATAAGGTTGACATCAACCAGGGTGGTAGCAATGGAGATGAAGAAACCTGGGTGTATGGCAGGTAGAATTTGAAGGTAGAACTAAAAGTGTGGTTGGTATTGGTGGGAGAGAGGAGTCAAGTAAGGGTGTGTCCTCATAACTCTGAACAACAAAATGAACTGAGATGTGGAACTCTAGAATGTGTCTAAAATCAGGGGGAAATCTTTCTACTCTCAAGTTCAATACTTTAACCATTACTATATTATCATTAATTGTTATCAAGGATATAAAAAAATTTGCAATCCATGTCAATATAACTATAAATTACTTTAGAACTTTTACAGAAAAGTGAAATTACTCCTTCCAATGAAAAACGGCAAAAGAGGGGGCTCCCCTAGTGGCCTAGGAGTTAAGTCTCGGTGCTATCATCACTATAGCCTGAGTTCAGTCTGTGGCCAAGGAGCCAACCCACCTATGGGATAGCATTTCAGTAGATCCACCTGTTCTGCTCCCCACTCTGTCTATGGTGAATCCTCTCACCCCCTGCTTCTCTGGCCTGCACCCCAGTTCTTCTACACAAAAATAAAAAATAAATCTTAAGAGAAAGAAAAATGGAAAAAAGGGAAGTTTGTTGTAAAACTTATCTTAATGTTCAAAATAAATAAGTACAAGGAAGATTATCTAAAATTTTCTGTGAATTTTGTGAAAATGAATGAAAATGTCTGTAATATTGCTAGATAACTTTGAGAGAGAGAAACAAAGCACTGGAAAACAGTTTATCAGAAAGCTAACAGATTTATGTTAGATAATCAAGTCACATTTTCTTCCTTCTACATTGTTGTATTTTTCAGTAAAATGATTATATTTTATAATTGGTAAGTTAAGGATTTAAGAAAAATTAACCTCTGTAGTTACAATTGCAATGCCTCGATAATCCATAGTAGCTTCCGAGAGCTACTCAAATTTAACCTTCTGTTCAAATTAATTAAAATCAATCATAATAATGGTGTAACATATGTGTCCTTTTACATATGTGTCCTTCTGATTACTCCATGGGTGATGCAATTCCAGTCAGAGTGGACTATAATTAGTTCTGTATGTGTCGTAACCAGTATTATGGTGTTAAACAAGGAACAGAAATCTGGTGACACTGGAACAAACAAGAAGTTTTTGTTTGTTTGATTGATTGTTTTTTACTTTAGGACTGTAGCCCTGAAGACACATAACCAAGAAGAATTTGAATCCACTTTCCAGATGCTGATAAGAAGGACTTAATATACAAAGAAAAGGCAGGATAGTTCACAATCAGGTCCGCAATTCAAATCAGACTCTAAGTCCAGTTTTGATTGACACAATAATGTGCAAATTTGATGAAGAGTTAGGTCAGCAGTGATTGATTGATTTTCAATCCTGATGATCTGTGGCAGCCCACTTTGCATTCTGTCTTCCTGAGGTGGGTATGCCTGAGGGAGAGGGGCATGCTGCATGGTACCCAGGGACTACCATCTACATAGCCTTCTGGCTCTTTTTCCTCTACTCCTATTACTCTGTTTCCATTTTCTTTTTTTTTTTTTTTTCTGTTTCCTGTCAGTGGTCATTATAGGGAAAGCTGAAAGGGCTAAGGAATTAAAATTTTCTTGATTTCCTTCATTTGAAGTGTTTCCTCCAAATTTAAACAATTGAAAGTTGATTATGTTCTTTTTTTTAAAGATGTATTTATGGACGCATACAAGAACTGGGGTGTAGACCAGAGGTGGGAGGGGTGAGGGGATTCACCAGAGAGAGTAGGGAGCAGAACAGGCAGATCTACTGAAATACACTGCTGTGAGGAGCAGCGGGTGAAACAGGAGAGGTCTGATGCACCATGTGGGTTGCTCTCTGGCCAGCTGGGATAGAACTCATGCTAGCAATAGCTTGATAGCATTGTCTTTAACCCCTGAGCCACCAGGGAGGCCCTGATTATGTTCTGAATTTCCTGTCATCGAGAGTAGATGATCATAATAATATTTGAGAAGTGCTCCTACCCACTGCTGACCTTCACCACTTTACCTTCCTTTCAGGGTCAATGATTGTATCTTGCGGGTGAATGAGGTCGATGTGTCAGAGGTTTCCCACAGTAAAGCGGTGGAAGCTCTCAAAGAAGCGGGGTCTATTGTTCGGCTCTACGTGCGTAGAAGACGACCCATTTTGGAGACTGTAGTGGAAATCAAACTCTTCAAAGGGCCTAAAGGTAATACAAACATCTTACAGTAAGATACCAGTGACAAACCACTTAACTAATGTTTGTGCTGCAACCCACATACAGTATACTCTCTTGTTTTCAGGGCTTACTTAGAGATTTAAAGTCCTGCAACAGTGATTTTTGTGGAGGATAAGGGAACCCAATACTCTAAATATTTACTCATATATGCAAAGGACAGATTTATGTAGTAATGGCCTTAGAAATAATATTGATAATCACATTCCTATAAAACTGTAATCTTAGTAGATCATCATGGCTTAATTACTTGTATATTAATACTGTCTAGTTTTTCAGATATTAATGGTAATCCCTCTCATTTAGTGAAATATTAATGTGAATAACAACTGAAATAGTCTACCCTGAGAAAAACCAGTTATGTTTTTTATAACAATTATGTTTTTATAACACTGTTGTGATTTGTGTTGATTTTGTTAAACTCTTTGTGTGTTGTATCCAACAAGTACTACAAAATAATTTATACTTGGAGTAGCCAAAATAAGTTAAAATTTTACTTTTTTGTAATGTTTACAAATCTCTTGAGGTAATTTCAGTTACTCTGAAAATCACATAAGCAGTGCAATTAATCATTATACTAAAGTTAAAGAATAGTCCTTTGAGCTCTGCTCTTTAGAATGATGACTTTTAATATTAGCTTTACAGTAATTCATACATTTTAGAAAAATCTAATAGTTGTATTATCAGTATTTTAAATATTTAAGATTTTAGATATTTAGAGATTGTTACTAGTTATTATACTCTTTTAGTAAATCTTTTCTTTTTTCCTGAATATCTATTTAATCTCTAATGTTCTGTGCAATTAAAATAACCACACTACCTTCACTGGAAGGCAGTAATGAGTGGTTTTTAAGATCTCACACCCAAGAGTCAGATAGGACTGCATTTAAAAGGCTGTTTCATCTACTTATTAGCAGGACAAAGTTGGTTCAACAAATCCTCAAAATAGAGATCTCAATGGTAGCTTCTGTCCCACAGATGTTATGAGAATTAAATATTTAACTGGTATTGGCACTAGGTGAGCAGTAGAGTACACTGCTTTGCTGAGTAAGAGTACACATTCCAGAGCCAAAGTGCCTAATATTGAATCCCTATTTCAGTAGCCAACTAGCTCTTTGACCTTAGGCAAATTGTTTCACTTCTTTGAGCCTTAATTTTCTCATGTACAAATGAAGATAATAATAGTGCTTGTATTTAGAAATCCTACGTTGTAAAAAAATAAGCAAGATGTTTAAGGATTTAAAAAAAAACAAATAACTGAATAACATATATCTGTAGAGTTGTGAATCTATACACCTGAAATATAAACAGTATTGTAGGTCAATGTTACCTCAATAAACATCCTTTTTTAAAAAAGAAAAAATATATGGAAATGTTGTGAAGACTAAATTAGTCAATTTTCATAAAGTATTTAGAATAGTAGCAGCACAAGTTGCACAAAAATTATTAGCTATATATGCATATTATTTGTAGTATTCTTTGCTATAGATTGTTTCAGCCTTCATAATAATTGTTTTGCAATGTCATGAAGACAGTCAATGAACCCTCATGGACTAAGTTCAAATGTATTAAAATCACAATTAAGTCTGAAACAAAAGTAGGGCATTTGTTTCTATGACCACAGTATCTGGTCATTGAATTTATACCCTACATCTTTACTAAAATCATATTTGCAGAGTGTTGTAAGGTGAACAAAATGATCATTACACTATTTTTATTATAAAGATGTATATAAATAATGTACAGCTATTTCTACAATTCACTTAACAATTACTCAGCACTGCCCTATGACTCTGCTTTAAGCACCCAGCAAAGCATCACTGTCTATTAGCGGGCCTCCCTTAGCTGAGTCACCCATGACCTCTCTTTGCTCTTTGCTTGAAGACTCTAGGGAATCAATTACCAAAACTTCTCAATTTTAACAGGTACACCTTTTTAAATCTTTATCATTGGCACTATGGCCCCTATAACTGGTTTACTTCACTCTGAACTGTGTTTTTAGCTATACCTGGAATGGTACAGGAATGGCCCTGGGATACGGAAAGTGGGCAGATAAGCATTAGTCAACCAGGAATCCTCAGGCAACAACCCAATGAAAGTATAGTCCCTGGTGTTTGGCAGATGGTGGTTCACATGGGCTTGATCTACTAAGAAGAGGAGAACCAGGAAATAATTAGAATGAACCTCACATACCTGAAAGCAGTTTCCTGCCAAATCCCTATAGAGAGGTGTGGGTCTTTTGGTTCCTGTTAGGTTTAAGAGTCAATCATACATTTCTGTACTGTCATCATACCAAGGTTACTGACGGGGATTCATTTCTCTATATAAAGCTCATTGACCTACAGGGAAAGAAACTGTCTTAGTCTTTGTTAAATTCCTAGTGCCTCTTCCAGAGCCTTAAATGAAGGAAATGTTAAAACGAAGTAAGTTTAATAATGACATTGGATCCTATGCTAACTCTGATGATACTTTGCAATCTATTTTCACTAGTACCTTCTAATTCTTTATTTTTGAATGAATATAAATTATACATTTAATAGAAATGGGTAGTAGTATTTAACTCATACCCTGGGTACTCTCATGCATGTGGGGCATAGATATGAATCTGATGTGATTATGATGGGAGAATTCAAATGTTGTCCTGGCTCAGAGAGAGATTGAAGTCTAGTCACTTTAATGCAAGGAGAACTATAAATTTAGTCTATATAGTCACTATATAGTCACTATATAGTCACTATAAAGTGACTATAAATCACTTTAATGCAACTGGAGAACTTCTATCTGATGGGGTCAGCTCTGATGGACCCTGAGTCATGATTTCATAGATCCTTATCCATCCATCACTGGACACAAAGACACTCTCTGTGGTAAGTGCTAAGGTCCTGGCTGATGGAGCGGGCTAGCTTTGATTAAGCATGTATAATGCAAGGCTAACTGGATGAATTAATTTAATCCTTCAGTGATTCAGCAAATATTTAGTATTTATTATATAGCTGTCACATAATCAATTTCTTTTTGCAAAGAAAATATAGCTCTTGTTCTCAAGGACAGGGAGAAAACAACTATAATATATGTTGGGGAAACACTGTGAATGCTCAGAAAAGAATGTAAGAGATACCGGTTAAAGAGTGACTCAAAGGAGATTTATCTAAGCAAATACCATTTCAGCCAAACCTTGAAAAAGATTTGTGTTTACATTTCAAGCGCAATGGAAGTTATTGCAGAATTTTCAGCATGGGAGTGACATAATCAAATCTGTCAGTTTTAGATCTTTTAGCCACTGTGAAGAAAAGTCATGGAAGGGGGCAATTATGGGAGCAGAGATTATCCAGGGTTTACTTGAAGAAAGGTGGTAGAGAAAGGTGGATAGATTCAAACTTTATTTGCAGGTATAATTTATGACACACGTTGATAAACCTGACGTGGGATTTGTCATGGATGAGCCCCAGTTTCCTAACTGAGCAATTTAATGGGTTGGGGTATCATTTGTGACATGGTGCTCCCATTGAAGAACCTCTGTTCTAAGAAGATTAATAATTAATTAGTGGACAGTTTGGGAAGCCTGGGATACTTGTGAGAAGGAGAACTCTTAGAAGTACAACTGGAGGGCCTCCCCGGTGGCGCAGCGGTTGAGCGCTGGGTTGCGAAGCTGCCCGCAGCCTCTGCAGTGCCAGTTCGATCCCCGGCTGCTCCCCGGCCAGCGGAGGAGGGTCCCACATGGCGCGCAGACCTCTCCTGCCGCCCGCTGCTCCCCTCAGCAGTGTATTTCGTCAGTCTGCCTGTTCTGCTCCCCGCTCTGGCTCTGGTGAATCCTCTCACCCTCCCGTGCTTCTGACTGTACCCAGTGTATAAATAAATAAATAAAAAATATTTAAAAAAAAAAAAAAAAAAAAAAGAAGTACAACTTGAGAACCTCTGCCTGAATATTGTCAAATCAATATTCCGAATATCCCCCATGATTTTCAGAATTTCTGCATAGGGCATATTTCTGAAGAATTGATGTTCTCACTTTTCTTAAATAATCTTTAACATAAAAATCATAAATACAGCTAGTTCAGCTATTTTGAAGTGATAAGCGTTTATTAAGTTTATTTAACTGGCATATCTAGACTATACTTTGGGGGGAGATTGTTTTTTGTTAAATTTTTTAAATAGGCCAGAAGGTGAACTGAATTATTCCTTCTTGTTGTATTGGTAAAATTTTATTTTTAAGAAAAAAGTTGTGATAGAATTAAATTTATAGTTTTCTAATTCTATATCTTTGTGTTCATCTATTGTACAGATTACTAATTATGATATGACTTTTGTATGTGGAATTCTGTGTTGATGGCAGTGTTAATCTTCCCAGTGTTCAAATAAAATCACCTGGCTGGTGATTTATGACATTCTACTTATTAATGGATATTTGTGTAATATGAATTATTGATTTAGAATACCTTTTTATAACAATACATAAAAAATTTCCCTAGCCTCACAGTTATAGATTTGGTTGCTGCAAACAGTTGGGGTGTCTGTATGGGGTCTCTCAGTGGAGAAAAAAATAGGAAATCATGTATAGGAAGTAGTGACTAGACAAATTCATACAGACTCATCTAGTAACCAAAATTATTCAAAGAAGAAAATATGAAGTGTACATGTGGGTTCTCAGAAAATAATTTTACAATTCCTATTTAGTGTGTAACTCAGTAACACTATAAGATATAACTTTGAGTTATATAATTAAACATGTCCAGACTATTCGTTTCTGTGGACTAAGCCAAAAACACAAACCTATGTAAGAAAGGAGAAGACAGGTCTTCTTTTAAACTGTTATTATTAACTCTTATAACTCAACAAATAGAAAAATGAAAAACCCAATCAAAAAAATAGGCAGGAAAGGGCCTCCCTTGGTGGCACAAGGGGTTAAGTTTCAGCACTATGAAGCTATCTGCAGCCACTGCAGCATGAGTTAAATCCTAGCCAGGGAGCTACCC